GTTTTTATTACGTTAGATAGGATACATTTCCCTCCAAGTGTTCTCTTGTCAAATTAATTTTCTTTTTTGATCCAAATAGCAAGTATTGGTCAGATATCATCTGTCATTGTGTCTCTTCTAAGTCAACTTCATTACATTTCAGTGAACAGTTTGGAGTTTGGATTGGAGACGGAAGATTATCTTACTGGTATGTTTCTGAGAACGAACTCTCATTCGCTCTGGGAGGCCAGTATTCGGATCAATACATTTGAACGCATTTTATGAATCTGAACATTACTTCTATATTCTGATCTTATCTTTCCCAATACTTTACAGGAATTTGTTTCATGTCAAACGATTTGGTAGGATAATTTGTTATCCCTAACACTTGCTTTCCATCTTTCCCACTTCGAAGCCAACTAAAATGAAATAACGATTAATCATTTTCAATATGTTTGAGTAGCCTAGGTACGTGGTTAATCGAGTGACAGCAGGAGACTATGACTGCCCAAGAAAGGTGATGAATTTCTTGACGGATCTTCATGCAGCCTTCCGCATGCTCAATCTCAGGAACGATTTTCTCCGCAAGAAATTCGACAGTAAGTCTCTTATCTCTGACCGCTCTTTCTCCATTTGTATGTATATAAGCTTAGTGTGAGATGGTAACATAATAATCTATTTTCGTATTGCCGTGTGACAGGTATGAAATATGACCTACGAAGAGTCGAAGAAGTTTACTACGATGTGAAGATCCGAGGTTTGATATCTGGTGGCGATCAAGGAATCCAAGGCCAACAATCCTAAATAAAAGTTTTCACTCTTCTTATATAACTATGTTTAGCTCCTCATGAAAACGGCAAGAAGTTCTTTACTAAAAACCAAAAACAGTGTACAAGCCTAGCATAGACTCCGAGACTAGAGTTTTTTGTTCTCCTCCAAGTTAATGGGCTTTAATGTGAGGCCCATGTTTTAAACGTCGGCGTGAAATGAGTAGTTAACGGCGTCAAAGGAATCGAAACTTTTCCGTTATCCTACGCAGAGAGTAACAGTGAATCTATATACAGTAGGGGTTCATGTGCAACATCTGTCGTCGTTGCGGACTTGAAACGCACGTTATATTACACGGTCACATACGTCATTTTTAGATTTCAAACTCAATAAATAAAGCTTTTGAAATCCGTCCAGAATTATAAAAAAAAAATCATCTCAGTTTAACAGTCGCCATTCTCACACCTTCGTGAGTGTTCTTCTCTTTCACAGTCTTCTTCTCAGCTTCGGATATTTTTCCTCTCACATTTGTCTTAGATTCTCGCTTGAAATCTCTTGTCCATAGCTGAGTAAGTTTTTATGGAAATGTTTTAAGATTCTTTGTTTGAGATAGATCGCAATGTATGATCTCGTTGGATTTTTTGTTCTGTTTTGAAGAAATTTTGGTGATTATTTTTCTCGGATTATTTGGTTTTCAATTCCAGTTGTTAGTGTTTAAGGAGGAGGATAGGCTAAGCAGCCAGATTTCTTCTTAATTTAATATTTTCCTGGGAAAATATTTTTCTTCTTATTTCTCATTTGTTTGCGTACTACGGTGTAACAGCTGTGTCTCACTGGCCCACATTATACGTAATTTTTTTTTTTTTTTTGTATTCTCTCTATCGAATTACATTTGATTTGATGATTGTAATACTAATAAAAAGATTAATGTTTCTTCTGTAGCTGAAAGTTTTGATTTTTCCTTCATTCCTCTGAGATCACCCGACAGAAATCTGTCTGGTTAAGCTTCTTTATAACATAATTGCCGAGAATGTCTGTCCCATGCTCTCTAATTTATATGTCTTTTTAATATTTTTCTAGACTAGAATGCAAAGTAATGTTTTTAAATTCGAGAGAACATGTTTCTTGTTGTTTATTTACTTACTAGTAGTAGCATATCTTTAAAATGCATGAATGAATCTATGGATTTTGTGAATCTAGCTTGTGATTTGTTTTATGGGGCAACATTGTCCATTTCTGTTCAATTATTGAGACATACTTTGTTGGGTGTAGAAAACATGGAATGAACTTGAATGGGGCCTTTTGGAATGGACCGAATAACCGATTTTCCTCAAGCTTTTGCTGGCTTTAACTGTCAGAATGTGAGGAGAACCATCTTCTTCCTTTCTTTCTTTCCCTTGTGTTCATTGGTTTAGGTTGTACATTATGGTGAATCTATCTCAGATATCTTAATCAAGTTTTTTCTTTTTTTTACATTTTTTCTTCTAAGGTTGATGAGAATGTTCGCCATTCAGTCGAAGAGAAAATGAGTGACATGAAGCATTTTCTAATGGAGCCTAAACATGACAATTTCGCGGTGGACAGTTTCTTAGGCCTTGGTATGGAGAATATGGGCATAAGCTACAAGATGGAGGAATTTTCTCATGGATACGACTTTAGCTTTCTACCAGATTATCGTAAGTCACTTTTAAAATTGAATGATGGATATATATTGTGCTGAATGTCTTTGTATCATATTAAATGGGAGTCTGGTTAATGAATGTTTTTGTCTTTCATTTTTGCTAAGGTGGACTAGAGTCTTGTACCACTCACGACGGGGATGCAGGTTTAAAGCTCGAAGTATGTGTTCTCCTTATGCTCTCCATTACAGTTATGGTCTTATGTTTGTGTCTTGTTGTGCCTGTATGCTCTTCATCACATGGTTTCTTACTCATTTGTAGATTCTTGATGGGTTTCTGGACGAAGTTGATGAAGTGGAAGATATCTACGCATCACATGATCTTTCTTCTGTTGGTGACCGTATCTTTCCAGGTAAATTTAAGTGATTCTATCATCTTAGTGCATCCGAGCAAAATATATGGTACCACAATTCAGTTGACCATTTACTTGCAGAAACTGAAGTCAAGAAGAAAGTATCTGAATTAGATGGTGATCCTTGTGGTTTTCTGAACTTCAGCTCAGAATCTTATTCTCCTGGAATTAGTGGAAGCAACGGGCTCTCTGAGTGGTCAAAAGAAACTGTTCCCCGTGCTGAATCCCAGAATGTATCCAGCGGAAAAGTTAAAGAGAGTTTGGATTCAACTTCAAACAATATGCATGGTTTGTATGAGTCAGGAGATGACAATAAACCACTATCCACTTTAGGCTCTTGGGTTGGACAAGGCAAGAATCGGAAAAAGAATTTGGTTAACACCTCGCGTAGTAGGTAAATAGTCAAGATAATCTATCCGGTAACTAAAGTCTTATTCCGGATATACAGTCCCGTAGATGTCAGATGTTGTTTTCCTAGTGAAGCATTCATTTTAATTTTGCAGATTAGATTCTTTTGTTGGACCAATGTCTCCTGTCTCCTATGACTTCCGGCCCCGGAAAGGACCTCTGAAGAAATACATTCATACTACAACGGTTTGACTTACTATTGAAGTTTGCTCATTGTTATTATCTATGTTTATTGTAAACCAAATACCATCTGATATTTTGCAGGTAGATGTATTATCTGATGATGATCAACAAACTTCATCTGAGAGTGACGATGACATTTCTGTAAGAATCACATCCAAAAGCAGAACTGACCGGAGAAAGCATCAGAGGATGTGGACTGTCGATGAAGTAGTGAAGTTGGTTGATGGTATTTCTCACTTTGGTGTTGGCAAATGGACAGATATAAAGAACCACTTCTTTCAGTCCGTGTCGCACCGCACCCCCATTGATATCAGAGTATTTCACCATTCACCTCAAAATCAAAACTCTTCATTTAGTAGTGATTGATTGGTGTCTCAGTTCTTCTCCTGGAATCTAATGCAGGACAAATGGCGTAATCTACTGAAAGCAAGTTATACCGACAAGCACAACGATGGAGAGGTTTGTTGCTTTTTCTCTTCCTTTGTCAACAAAAAGTTCATATCTTGAGAATCCTTTGTAACGTAAATGGGGTTTCAGGTTGAAGAAAAACGAAGGTCAGCGGCTCCACCTATCCCGAAAGATATTCTACATCGTGTAAGAGAACTTGCTTCGATTCATCCATATTCGTTCTCCAAATTGCCGTGTTTTGTTCATGATTCCTCAAGAAGCCGAAGCAATTCAAG